CAGCGCACTATCGCTCAGTTGAGCGGTGTTGCGGCAGTCCCTATATTTCACGGCTGTGCCCCCTCCCAGTGCACGTACGCTGACGTCTCCGCCGCAGTTGCCACGATTGCGTCTGCACCTGAGACAGCAGCTGCGGCTTACGCGCAGCAGTGCCAGCGCCGGGGCCGCCGTGGCCCCAAAGGAGGACGTGGAGGTGGCGCTAGTGGTGGTGGTGGCGGGGACACTGGTTATGACGAGGGGGTTGGTGCTGGTGCCGAGAAGCAGCAGCAGTCGCCGCAGTCGCAGCCGCCGCAGCAGCAGCAGCAGCCGTGGGCTCTCCTTCCCCGGTGGCCAGGAGCCCCTGGCGGTGGTGGTCGTGGTGGTGGCCCTCGCAGCTCGGCGTCCACCGGCAGCTTCGGTGCTGTGAGCTGCCAGTACCAGCTTCAGACAGGGCCCCTGCGTGGCACCCCACCGCCCGCTGCTTCCGCCGCCTCTTTCTACCACCTCCCTGACTGGCCCAGCCTGCTGCGCCACGGTGTGCCCGTGTTTGACTTAGATATGGATCAGATTAGTTCGGCTTTGCATTCTCTGTATGCTGACGCTTCGAGTGTTTTCGGATCGTATTACTCTGTGTTCTCTAGCTTAGGCGTAGCACCTGTGTGTAGTCCAGACTCCCCTGGTGCGTTAGGGGTAGGAAAGCTTGCTTTGTCTAGCCTAGGCTCTACCCTTGCTCCTCCATCGTCAGCCACTACGGCGTCACTGTCCTTCACTCTAGACTCCGGTGCGTCAGCCTGTTTCTTCCGCGACCACGCCGCCCACACGCCGCTTGCTGCGCCTGCCGCTGTCGACCTTGCGGACCCCGACTCTGGTCCTCTGTAGTTGCTCGCAGCTACACTACCATTCCCTGTCCGTCGGTTCCCTCGGGTTCCCTTACAGGCCTGCACATCCCTTCGTTCTCCAGGAACTTAGTTGGTGTCGGCTGTCTGCAGGACCTCGGCGTCACCACTACGTTCCCTGGTTACGAGCGGTACGCGGTCTATTCCGAGGCCGCCTCAGGTGCACCCCTTGCGACGTTCCCCCGGGACCCTTTGTCTGGCCTGTTTACGCTGGACACTACTCCCCCCCCGGTGTGAGAGTACGACACCGTTACACCAATTTCCCCTTTCCATATTTCCTCTCCATTTCATTCCTCTTTTTATCCTGATTCATTTGGTCTTTATCTCATCTCATTTGGTTTCCTATTCCTCATTTTCCATTATCCTTTGGTTTATCCTGTTATTATAATTATATCACCGACCAGGCTTGGGATGTTCTGGCGCGCTATATCTAGCGTAATCCTGCCGTAATCCCTTAAAGCCAATAGCCTCGCGTGGCTATACGCATGGTGATTCTATTTCTAGAAGGGTCTATTCCCTTTGGATAGGATAAGCCTGGTTACCTGATGTATTCTGGAAGTATAAAAGCACCTTGTACTGATTGATAGTGCAACATTGAGCAAACCTTTCCTCGGGACATTCGATCCTGTGACACCCGGCGGGCGAGTCCTCCTTCGGTCCTACGTCCACCCAGGTAGCTGCGGCCTGCTCGTGTCAGTCGCTCACTCACCCGTCCCTGTTGTGGCACCATCGTCTAGGTCACCCCGCGCTCCCCCGCCTACGTCACATGTCTCAGCACGGTCTAGTCCTCGGCCTCCCTGCGTCGCTCCCTGCTCTCCCTCCCTCGCCTGCGCCGCCGTGCACACCCTGCGTCGAGGGTCGGCTGCGCCGTACTTCTCACTCCTCCTCACTTTGCCTTGCCACTGCACCCCTTCAGACTCTGCACTTAGATGTCTGGGGCCCAGCCCCTATCCCTGGGCCGCGTCGCGAGCGCTACTTTCTTGTGCTCGTTGTTGAATTCACGCACTATACCACGGTGTTTCTCCTGGAGCGGAAGGCCGACGTGCCTGACGTCCTTATCCCATGGCTCGTAGTTATGCGCCTCCACCGCGGTCTCCCTGTGCAGTGTATCCACTCCGACCGTGGCGACGAGTTCGCCTCTGGTCGGCTGGGTCAGTTCTGTCGTGCGAAGGGTATCACCCAAACGTACATCCTACCGGACTCCCCGCACTAGAATGGGGTCGCTGAGCGACGCATCGGTTTGGTCATGGAGGTGGCTCGTACCTCCATAATCCATGACGGTGCACCCCATTTTCTGTGGTCGTTCACCATTCGCTACGCCGCTCACCAGCTTAACCTCTGGCCTCGCTCTCAACGGCCACAGGTTTCGGCGACCCTTTTTTGGACCGGGTTCCCTGGTGACGCGTCTGCATTCCACATCTGGGGCTGCCTTGCTCACATTCATGCCTCCAGCGCGGACAAGCTCACTGCCCGCACCGTCCCCTGTGTCTTCCTCGCTTTCCCCCTTGCTTCGTTCCCACGTGTCTCGTCCTCCCCTCCTGCCTTCGCCTCCTCCGTCGTCGCTCACTGTCACGCCTCCTCATTTGTATGACTACCTGTGCGCATCTTGTCCTCTTGTTCCTCGGGTCCTTGCCTCCCTCGTTACCGACCCGTCTTTTCCTGTCTCCTGTCTTGACGCTCTTGTAGCTGCTGTCGCTGACTTTGCCTCTACTCGCCGCCTTGACTTCGCTACCACTCTGGTCTCTGACCCTGTCTGTCCTCCGTCCGTCGGGGGTGCTCCTGTCCTCGGCACTCACGTCTTGGAGGACTGGCAGTACGAGCTTGCTTTCCTGTCAGAGGCTGCTCCCCATCTTTGTTCCATGCTGCTAGTCCCTGAGGGTGACCCCGACGCCTTTGACATTCCGACCCCTCGCACCTACGCTGAGGCGACCTCAGGACCTTGGGCCTCTCAGTGGATAGCTGCCATGGAGCAGGAGATGGCATCTTGGAGGGCTACAGGCACCTACCACGACGCAGTTCCCCCACTTGGGGTGAACGTAGTCGATGGCCAATGGCTCTTCAAGGTGAAGCGCCCTCCTAGAGAGCTGCCTGTGTTCAAGGCGCGCTACTTGGCTAGAGGCTTCAGTCAGCGTGAGGAGGTGGACTTCTTTCAGACCTTCGCCCCGACCCCGAATATGACTACTCTTCGGGCGCTACTACACGTCGCAGCACAGCGTGACTACGAGCTTCACTCCCTCGACTTCTCCATTGCTTTCCTTCAGGGCAGCCTACACGAGCAGGTCTACCTGCGCCGCCCTCAGGGCTTCACCGGTACTTTCCCTCCTCGGACCCAGTGGCTCCTCCTGCGCCCCGTCTACGGCTTGCGACAGAGACGCGCTAGCCTCCGTGAAGGCTGAGCTGCTGAGGCGACACACCTTCAATGACCTGGGAGAGCTGCGCCGCTACCTTGGCCTGCAGATCTCCAGGGACAGAGCAGCGCGCACCATCACTCTTACACAGTCACACTTGGTGCGCTAGGTCCTTCAGAGGTTCGGTCTTCATTTCTCCTCCGCACAGCCCACACATCTGCCAGTAGACCACAGGCTCTCAGCTCCAGTTCCCGAGGAATCAGCAGAGCCCAGTGGTCCTTACGCAGAGCTGGTGGGTTGCCTGATGTACCTGATGACTTGCACTCGCCCAGATCTCGCATACCCTCTCAGCATCCTAGCCCGCTTTGTGGCCACAGGCAGACACCGACCACAGCACTGGTCGGTCGCTAAGAGGGTTTTCGTTATCTTGCAAGTACATTGGGCATGGGGCTGGTGCTGGGAGGACGCAGGTCAGTGGCCCTTACTGGGCACACAGACGCTTCTTGGGCAGGCGACGCTGAGACCCTCCGATCCTCCTAGGGCTACTGCTTCAGCCTTGGTTCTGGTGCCATCTCGTGGAGGTCCACTCGCTCCTCGTCTGTTGCTCAGTCTAGCTGCGAGGCTGAGATCTACGCCGGTGCCATGGCGGCACAGGAGCTCCGCTGGCAGACCTTCTTGCTTGCCGACTTAGGTGAGCGGCCTAGCTCTGCCCCGGTTCTGTACGCTAACAACAGGGCCATGATCCTCCTGTGTCAGGAGCCTCGACTTGAGGGCAGAGCGAAGCACATCCAGCTGCGGTACTTCCTCCTGCGCGAGCTTCAGCAGCGTCGCCAGGCCCGCGTAGTACACTTGGCCTCCGGTGCCAACAGAGCTGATATCTTTACGAAGGCGCTTCCGCCTAGAGATCATCAGCGGCACTGCTTCCAGTGAGGTCTAGTCCCTGTTGACTCTAACTTGCTAGGTTCTTGATTGTGTACTCCTTTCTATTTATGCCTTTCAGATTGGCCTTGTGGCTTTTTCCTCCAGTGGTTGGACTAATAGTGCCGCCCTGGTTTGCTCTGTCTTGCTTGTACTCTTGCGGACTGGTCTTCGGGCCCCTGCCTCAGAGGTTGGACTAGTAGTGCCACCCTGAGTTTCGTGTTTCTTGCTCAGCACTACCCCTTATCTAGCCTAGGGGTTGTGTCAACTTATACATATATTGTTATGTAGAAGTTATAGGCTAGATAGGGTATGTTCTTAGTGGGTACAACCCAAATGCTATCTCCCCTGTACTCCCTTTTTCTAATTATTCTTTCTAGTCTTCACACTGTGCTCTGGAAACTCAGTATTGGGTTTGCCACAAGTCTGATTTTTTCAGGATCCCTAAAATCGTACTCTGAAGTGATCATGATTGGGAAAATGGACAATCTGGAAATTCAGGTTTGTAAAAAAAAAAAGGGTCTGAAATTTCAGACTAATCAGATTGTTGGAAATATCTCAAAGAACTTAAGCGTTTCTGAAGTGTAACACTACACTCAAGGAAGAACGCAACGGGTACACGAGTCAACGGAGGTTACACGAGGGGGGCGGACAAAGAACGCGAAGGGACTCGAAGGGTCGCAACTGGAGGTCGCGACTGACCGTTACAACAGCGCGGATGGTAACCGAAGCGACAATCGAGTCGCTGTGCGACTCGATAAACCGCTCCTGCAACCTAATTCTACAACTGCTTTACTTTCCTACTCTCTATATATTTCTGTATGCTTGTTTCTTTAATCAATCACTTGTTCTCATATACTAGTACAAGGGTTCAACTGCCTCAACTTCCCCTGCACTACTCAAGTCTTAATCTTCAACTGGGACTTAGTCTCTGAAAAGATCCTAAGGGCATTTCTCAGCCCAACACAGGCTAAATAGTCTGATAAAATCAGCCCTGCATATATCGTACAAGTGTTCTGTCAACTACTGCTGATATGTTGGTAGCCTAATGTGGCTCGGACAAAAGAGCAGCCCGTTCCATTAGGGCTCTCTGGTATCTCCACACTAAATGCCTTACTCCCTGGACCACCTGACAAGCCAAACAAGGTGGACACAGATTCGCCCGGCTGTAAAAACCTCTTCTCCAGCAGCTCCAGCTCCTGATCAATGGTCCTAACCGGGCGAACCTCCACCATCATCTCATCCACCCTCGCTGCAGCTGCGGCTCGTGCATCCCCACTCCCCACCTCGGCCCGGAGTGCCTCCAGGTCGTGCGCCACGCGGGACATGGAGGGGCGTGAGGCAGTGGGCATGGCGGTGCAGCTGACGGCCAGCTGAGCCAGGCGCAGGATGATGCCGTCAGGTGCTGCCATGCGGGGGTCTCTGAGAGATGACTCGTTGCCCTCTGACATGAGCTTGCTTGCCTGTGAGATTCAAGGGAGGGGGGGCAGGGGATGGGGAAGGGGAACGGGGGTTGAAGAGAGGAGGGCCAAGGGAGCAAGGGGGGGGGGATAAAGTAGGTGCAGTGCAGGATGAGTGCGTCGTCCTAGCCGTGCACTGCAGGAAGAGTGAGTCGTCCTAGCCGTGCACTGCAGGAAGAGTGAGTCGTCCTAGCCGTGCTTACAGGAAAGAACAAGCGCAAAAGAAGCCCTAGATCGTGGATGGATGAATACAAAGAGAGAGAGAGAGAGAGAGAGAGAGAGAGAGAGAGAGAGAGAGAGAGAGAGAGAGAGAGAGAGAGAGAGAGAGAGAGAGAGAGAGAGAGAGCGAGAGAGAGCGAGAGAGAGAGAGCAAGTAAAGAGAGTCGTGATAGTGAGAGCCTAGGCTTAGGAGCTGCGTACCCAGTCAATAATCTTGATACGCTCAGACTCAGCAGGTGTGTCAAGGCCGTTGTCATGCTTGAGCTTAGTTATGATGGCCTGCTGGCCTGACAGCATCACCAGCATGAGGATGCCAAAGCTGCGCGGAGAGAAAGGGGAAGGCAAATGAGGGGAGGGGAGCGAAGTCACAACCAGACTCCTATCACGCGGATCACCAGCATGAGGATGCCAAAGCAGCGCAGAGAGAAGGGGGAAGGCAAGGAAAGGGAGGGGAGCGAAGGAGTTTTGAGGCGCCTCAAAACCAAAGTTGGCCTGACAGGATCACCAGCATGAGGTTGCCAAAGCTGCGCGGAGAGAAAAGGGAAGGCAAGGGAGGGGAGGGGAGCGAAGTCACAACCAGACTCCTATCACGCGGATCACGAGCATGAGGATGCCAAAGCATCGTGAGAACAAGGCAAGGGGGAAGGCAAGTGCAGAGCAGAGAGAATGCTGGCAACAGAAAGCTGAAATTTGACTTCATCTGAGCTAAACGAAGGGGCAACACGGGGAGGGCACCTGTAGACATCAGTGGCAGTGGTGGCGTTGCGGGTCAGGCAGTAGGCGGGGTCCATGTAGCCCACGGTGCCCAGCACTCTGGTTGACAGCATGCCTGTGCCATCCCCCTCTCGCACCAGCCCAAAGTCCGCCACCTTTGGCTGGGGGGACAACAACGGGTGGTCGGCGGAAGGGGGGGGGGGGGCGGGTGGAATTGAGAAAGGACAGAAAAGAGCGAGGCGTGATTCCTCGATGCCATGCTGCATGCTGCTGTATAGTGGTGCCATGCTGCCTGTATGGTGGTGCCATCACCATCACCTAGCACCCTTCACCCTTCACCCTTCACCGGCATGGTGCGGTAATGCAGCGTGTACAGTGGAGGCAATACAATCAACCAGACTGGCACTGGCGCACCTCTCACCCCCTCATCACCCCTCGCCCCTCACCTGCATGTCATCGTCGATGAGGATGTTGGCGGGCTTGATGTCGCGGTGCACCATGCCAAAGCTGTGCAGGTACTCCAGCCCGCTAGCAGTGCCGATGAGAATGTCCAGCCGCTGCTGCAGGGTCAGCACTGCGGGGGCGTCTGGGAGATGAGCAGAGCGCAGGGGAAGAGGGCTCAGTGGCATGCTGCAACAGTTCGGGAAAGTGGCACGAAAGTCGAGACAGGTGTAAGGGTTTGGCTGTGATAGGTTTTTGAGAAATTTAAAAAGTGGCGTGAAAGGTTTTTGAGAATTCTCAAAGACGACACAAAGGCATCTCGCGGCAGCTCGAAAAGTGGCGTGAAAGTCGAGACAGTTCTCAGGGTTTGGCGGCACAAAGTGGCGCCTCCCTACAATCAACGATGCGAGATTAGGTATTCCTTGATAGAAGAGTACCTGGCCCCATCCACCTCTCCAGGTCGCCATTGGCGATGAACTCATAGACGAGCACGTTCTCCACTCGAGTGTTCACATCGCCCCCCACCGCGAACCCCAGCAGCCGGACGAGATTCGGGTGGTGCTTAGAGGCCATCTGAGCAACCTGAGACAGTCATGGGGCAGCAGACAGCCATGGGGGGCAGAAAGAAACAAGTTGCTCGGTCAGGGGCATGGGGCTACTCTTGAGTCGACTCTAAGGTCAGAGGCATAGGGCTGCTGCTTGGTGCTTTTCTTTTCCGTCTCGTGTTATGTTTTTTAGAACTTCTCAAAAGTATAACACAACCTGGGGTTTCTCCTAGGTGATTTTTATTTTCGATCTTTCCGGCTTTTATGTGTGAAGACAGGATGGGACACACCATGCTCCCCCACAAACTCCTCTGAATCGCCCACACACACCGACTCTGGCCCTTCCTCCCTGCTGCCAATACCACACACACCTACGCCTCAAACATCCTTCCCCCCCCAAAAAAACGCACGCCCATGCCTGCGCCACACCACACCCACCTCTCTCCTAAAGTCGCAGGTGATGACTTTGGCGCGCTTCACAGCCCACAGCGTGGCGCCATCGTAAGGGGACACGCCCTTGTACACGTCGCCATAGCCCCCCGACCCCAGCAGGTTGTCATTGGCCCAGTCGCCTGTGGCCCTGACGACCACGTGAAGGGGGAGCTGCTGGAAGGAGGCTGGCGCATCAGGCACGGCAGCACAGAAAGGATCTGCAAAGGCAGGAGAGAATGAAAAGGGGCAGAGGAAAGGGGAAGAGGAAAGGCGCAGAGGGGCAGAGGAAAGGGGCAGAGGAAAGGGGCAGAGGAAAGGGAACAGCAATGGTGGGGAGGTGGGGATGGTGATAGGAGGGCCTACTGTGTCTGAGCTTGCCACTCTTCAATACAAGTGAATCACACACAAAAAATCAAGTCGTTGTCAGCAGTGTGTGTTGTGTGTGCTGTGTGTGTTGTGTGTGCTGTGTGTGTTGTGTGTGCTGTGTGTGTTGTGTGTGCTGTGTGTGTTGTGTGTGTGTGTGTTGTGTGTGCTGTGTGTGTTGTGTGTGCTGTGTGTGTTGTGTGTGCTGTGTGTGTTGTGTGTGCTGTGTGTGTTGTGTGTGTGTGTGTGTGTGTGTGTGTGTGCTGTGTGTGTTGTGTGTGCTGTGTGTGTTGTGTGTGTTGTGTGTGTTGTGTGTGCTGTGTGTGTCGTGTGTGCTGTGTGTGTTGTGTGTGCTGTGTGTGTTGTGTGTGTTGTGTGTGCTGTGTGTGTTGTGTGTGCTGTGTGTGTTGTGTGTGCTGTGTGTGTTGTGTGTGTTGTGTGTGCTGTGTGTGTTGTGTGTGTTGTGTGTGTTGTGTGTGCTGTGTGTGTTGCGTGTGTTGTGTGTGCTGTGTGTGTTGTGTGTGCTGTGTGTGTTGTGTGTGCTGTGTGTGTTGTGTGTGTTGTGTGTGCTGTGTGTGTTGTGTGTGTTGTGTGTGCTGTGTGTGTTGTGTGTGTTGTGTGTGCTGTGTGTGTTGTGTGTGTTGTGTGTGTTGTGTGTGTTGCGCACAAGAGAACAGTGGAAGCAGGGATGGTCGACAGGGTTCCCTTCTCCTCAAAGTCATCTTCAAACGCCCGTCTGAGCTTCGGTTCTGAGCTTCCGGCTTCGGTTCTGAGCTTCGGTTCTGAGCTTCGGTTCCGAGCTTCGGTTCCGAGCTTCGGTTGCGAGCTTCGGTTCCGAGTTTCAGTTCAAAGGTAAAATAAGCAAGTAAAGCGGCGGCATGAGAGGGAACCGACCTGCACCACTGCGTGCTCTCTTCCACCACATGCCAGCGAGCAGCAGCAGGCACAGGAGGAGGAGAGGACTCAAAAGACAGCATGAGAGGGAACCGACCTGCACCACTGCGAGCTTCCAGCGCTCTCTTCCACCACACGGCACCGAGCAACAGCAGGAGGAGGAGGAGGAGGACGGCTGCCACCACAATGCCAATGACAGCTGCTGTTGGCAGGCCAGACTGGGGGAAGGAAAGAGTGGAAGAAGTGAGGAGAGAGGGGTCAAAAGAAGCAGAGAGGATGAAAAGAAGCAGAGAGGATGACAAGAAGCAGAGAGGATGAAAAGAAGCAGAGAGGATGAAAAGAAGCAGAGCGGATGAAAAGAAGCAGAGAGGATGAAAAGAAGCAGAGAGGATGAAAAGAAGCAGAGAGGATGAAAAGAAGCAGAGAGGATGAAAAGAAGCAGAGAGGATGAAAAGAAGCAGAGAGGATGAAAAGAAGCAGAGAGGATGAAAAGAAGCAGAGAGGATGAAAAGAAGCAGAGAGGATGAAGGTTCCTTCCAATCCTCTTGCAGAGTGACTCTTAAATTCGTCTCCAAGAAGCCGTTTCCATGCACTTAGTTAATACTATGCCTTCTGCAAGTACTGATCAATCTCAGTAGCACCTAGTACAGTAGCATCTCTTACAGCAGCATCTCTTACAGCAGCATCTCTTACCGAGGAAGGAGTGGCAGGCGGAGGGGCGGGTGTGGAGGGGGGTGCAGTGCACGGGCCGGATTGGCAGCCGGAGCTGCAGTACTCGTCGGTGGAGCCGCACCAGCCCCACTTGCTGCAGCACAGACCGTTGGGGCACACGCTATTGCCGTTGTCTGCTCCGCACCCGGCGGTCACGGGGGGATGGGAAACAGGAGGAGCGGGGGAACTGGTCGGGGGAGCGGGGGAGCTGCCAGGCGGAGGGGCGGATGCGGAGGGGCTTGCAGCGCTGCCGGTGCACAGTCCGGATTGGCAGCCGGAGCCGCAGTACTCGTCGGTGGAGCCGCAAAAGCCCCACTTGCTGCAGCAGAGACCGTTGGGGCACACGCTGTCGCCGTTGTCTGCACCGCACGCAATGGACACAGGGGGAGTGGACCCCGGAGCAGACGGAGCGGGGGAACTGGTCGGGGGAGGGGGGGAGCTGACAGGCGGAGGGGGGGAGCTGACAGGCGGAGGGGCGGAGCTGACAGGCGGAGGGGCGGAGGGGGAGGGGGTGCCGGTGCATGGGCCGGATTGGCAGCCGGAGCCGCAGTAGGAATCAGAGGAGCCGCAAAAGCCCCACTCGCTACAGCACAGGCTGCTGTTGGCGCAATGAAGGGAGGCGGAACAGTCCAGCGCGCGCGCGGGGGGAGAGAGATGCGCAGCTGAGAGCAGCAGCAGCGCGAGCAGGGGAAAGAGAGAACGCGTTGTCGGTGGTATGATCATAGTGGCGGGTGGGCACGGCTTTCGCACGGTGAAGTGCGGAGCCCGATGGTCTAAGATCGCAGGGGGGTTAGCGGCAAGCAGCACCCTTTTCTGTTGATTCGACCCAAGAATCTACCCGAGTGTCGACCCAAGAGTCGCCTCTGAAAGGCGGAGATGAATCTAGATGGAGTGACGAGCAGCGGGGACGGCAGCAATAGACGGCAGCACCATTCTCAGCGATGCACGGAGCGGACTCCCAGTGAGAGGGACTCCGGGAAAGGCGGCTCTGGAGTTGGCGCACAAGGCAGGGCGATTCTCAGGGGCGCGCGAAACAAGCTCTCCGGGGATTCCACGGATGCACGGAGTGGACTCCCAGAGAGGGGGGCTCAGGGGGGAGGCGGCTCTAGAGTCGGCTGACAAGGCAGTGGGATTTTGAAGGACGCGTGGGGAACGTTTTCCTTGTCTCGGTTAGGGCGGCTGAGAGAGGAAGGCCTAGTAGTAGTACTAGCCACAATGCATGCGAAATTCACCCTCGGCCTCGGCCTGGAGCAATCGGCTATTCGATCCCCTCAGCTCCCTTCAGATTGTTGGTCGACTGTGACTTCTGTGTCGACTCACCTAAGACAGCTCAACCGCGTAAGACACCTCAACCGCGTAGCTGGCGTGGAACAATAGGGGGGGAGGCGGCCTAGCCACAATCAGCGTGAGGAATCTATTTTTGAGGCGCCTCAAAAATAGACTCCTCACGTTGGTCGACTAAGACAGCTCAACCGCGTAGCTGGCGTGGAGCAATAGGGGGGAAGGCGGCCTAGCCACAATCAGTCCCCGTCGATTCTCCCCGCGGACGGCCAAGATCTCCCGTGACTCTGACATTCGGGATGACTCGAATCGGGAGGATTTTCGATCAGGCCGGGAACCTTCGATTCTCGGACCGCAACTCCGGAATTCGGAGTTCCTTGCTGTGGCTCCTCCGACACGTGGGAGGTAACTTGGTAACGCGGCGAAAAGGCACGACGCCGACACCTTCGCCTCGCGTGAGTGTGGGGGACAAATAACAGCAAACACGTGCTGCGATCGATAGAGTCCCATCGTGGAAACAGCCGTGATGAGTCCGCGCGTCCGTGCCTGCGTCGCGCGGAAGTCAGCGTGATGAGAAAAGACGGCCACTGCTATCCGTAAACACGCTGACTGACTTGACTGACTGACTGACTGAGTGCACTGTTAGTCCGACTACCCACTTCGTACGAGTGTGCTCCAAGGTTTGTTGACATCGGAAAAGTAGTGCTTCGTTATCATTCGGGTTCAATATGGTAGATTACGACGGTGACGACTCGAATATTCCCGCTATAAGGCAAGAAAAATAAGAATTCACAAAACATAGCGACCACCGGAAAACAGTCAGCATGAATTGTGAAAACATGAAACCCTTGCCGCCTACGTTGGTCCATGCGTGGAACAGTGGATCTAGGCATTTACACTGTCAAACATGTGTATTCGTCATGTTTGTATAGACTGTATAGGGTCGCCTCTTAGAGGGTACAACACTTAGGTATATCTGTGTGTACTCTCTCTCTAGAAAATATTCACTTCACTGTTTTGAGATACACGACCGAACGGACCGCGTTCCAGAATAAAGAACCATTGGACAAACTGCATCTTTTTCAGCCTAACAATTTGACTCTGTACAGCCGGCTCGCTATCACTGCTCACATATTTCGAAAAGCTGTCCATTTGCCAGATCCCCTGACGTCCTCCTGCTTGCCATGGATCCAACACCCTAGTTCGGATCTGTTAGGCTTGCCAAGAGAGAGAAACCTGCACTGGATTCGTGTTTGTGGGGGGAGGCGGGCCATTCAAACAGCTGGTCAAGGCGACTCCTTCAATCAGAACTCCCTCCCCACCACATCAGTGTTCGCAGAGGGAGAAGGGCCGCTCAAACAGCTCCTCATTAGCCAGTGCAACCAGCGCTCTCCTCTCTTCCATCAGAGCCTCCCGGTGTTTCTTCCCCTCTTCCATCGTCATTGCAGCACCCCTGCTGTCACCACCCTCTCCCCCGACACACCTACCCTCCCCCTCACCCACTCCCTCAGCCACCAAGTCCAGAGCCAACCCAGGCAACACCGAGCAAGGGTGGCCTTTCTGCTCGAGCTCCCTCCTCTGCCAGCTCAGCTGCTGAGGTGGCACGCGTGCCGTAGATATGATCCTCTCCCTCGGGTCCACCAGGAAAAAGACGAGGATTTTCCGGTGGCCCGGGCGGGTTTTGTCCTGTAGCTCGAACGGCGCGACCCGGTGGTGGAAATGGTTCGGAAAGGCGAGGCAGAGGTTCGGCGTGTTGGTCCGGACCGAGCCTAGAGGTTGGGTGAGAGGCCCGTCGTCCACTAGGCCGTAGATCCGGGCCACCCCTTTGTTGTCATTCTGTTCGTACTCTGGCTCCGCCACAGTGTGCCTGAATTGAAGGCGAGACTCGGTGATGTTATCAGAGTCAAAGTAGTAGATGCCTGTGGCCTGCAGAGGAAGTGGGGGGCGGGGGAAGGGGGGGAAAGGGGGGAGGGAGGGAGAGAGAGAGAGAGAGAGAAGGAAGTCGGACTTTGTGTGGCTCAGTGTACACGCAATCAGTGCACGTGGCAGGGAATGAAAGGGGAGGGGGGGGGGGGGGGGCGGCTTGCAGTTTAGCCGTGGCTGTAACTGGAGACTGGAGGTCGTCCGTGGGGCAGAGGAAGATGCACGGAAAGAGGAAAAGTTGAGATTAGAGCATTTGGGCGCAACGAAAGGTCTCAGATGCAAAGTCCGAATCAGGCAGGATTAGAAAAGCAAAGGTCTCACAGGTGGGTGCAAAGGCCTGACCACAACCACAGCGTGCAAAGGACATCTCTCTGGATACCCTCTCTCTCTCTTTGTCTCTCTCTCTCTCTCTCTCTCTCTCGCTCTCTCTCTCTCTCTCTCTCTCTCTCTCTCTCTCTCTCTCTCTCTCTCTCTCTCTCTCTCTCTCACGGTCCTCTCTCCCCCTTACCACTCGCCAGTATGCACTCACTCACTGCACATGGCCCACTCGGCCTCATGCACTCGGAATAGATGCCCCACTATACACTCCTCTCCCACTCCTCCCCGAACCCTCAGCACTCACCACAATGTGTTCATTCCACAAGCCCTCCACATGCCACGAGCCCCCAGGGCAGCCGGGGTTCTCAGGGGTAGCCCGGTCCCCTTCCCCCTCCCATCAACTCACCACGATGTGCTCATTCCGCATGCCCTCCACATGCCACGTGCCCCCCGGGTATCTCGGATTTTCAGCAGAGAGGCGGATAGAAGCCACCTTCACCACCACCTGCAGGCGCCGCCCCCTAAGATCCACCACGTGCGTGGGAGGCGGGGGAGGTGCGAACTCCGAAGGGGTTTCTGGCTGCTTTGGCTGGCGGTCCACCAGCCACTGGTGGTAGTCGTCGTCGTCGTCCTTGTCGTACTCCCTCGCTCCTTTCCACTCGTCGTACCACCTGCATTGCAAGCATAGAGCCATAGGGAACAGATAGTGCAAGGGAGAGAGCCACTGACGGTAAAGGGGAACAGACAGTATCCTTCTGCTGCCGGTGGACCAGCCACTGGTGGTAGTCTTCGTTATCGCCGTCATCCTTATCGTACGCACGCTCTCCCTTCCACTCGTCACACCACCTGGTGGGAGGGGTAATGGCAAAGGGCATCGTATAGAGGTACAAGAGAAACGTATAGCCTACGAGTGTTGGAGCTGTTGGTACACCAGCCACTGGTGGTAGTCTCCGAGTGTTGGAGCTGTTGGTACACCAGCCACTGGTGGTAGTCTCCGAGTGTTGGAGCTGTTGGTACACCAGCCACTGGTGGTAGTCGTCATCATCGTTCTCGCCATACTCCCGATTGCCTTTCCACTCATCATACTGCCTGCACGGGGGACGTGAGTAAAGAGCCACCAGGTGCAGATAGTTTGAAGGCGTTGCTCTGTCTGCCGGTCCAACAGCCACTGGTGGTAGCCGCCAGCATCCTCCTTGTCGTACTCTCGCTCGCCCTTCCACTCGTCGTACCCTGGTGGGCGAAGCAAAGTAACGGCAAAAGGTATTGTATAGGGCTGCATTGGGAACGTGTAGCCTTAGAGTGCTTTGTCTGCCGATCCACCAGCCACTGGTGGTAGCCATTGTCGTCTCCCTTGTCGTACTCTTGATTGCCTCTCCACTGCCGTACCACCTGCAGTGGTTCTGTAGATCGAAAAAGGTACAGATTGTGTCAAGGAGTAGATTGAGCTGCCTTTCCTGCAGGCACTTGCGGCAGGCATCGCAGTCAAATTTGCCGCATTTGCCCTCTCCCATCCACTCGCCATACCACCTGTGGTGTAGGTGTACAGTAAGACAGTGCACCAGGAATAGGCAAACACGTCTTTATATGAAAACAAACCGAGGAAATTTAACTGCAACGCGATATACTGATCAACAATGCACATTACCGTCCAGATTCACTGCACTTGTAGCTATAATAGACTCATTACACACGCATTACCGTCCAGATTCACTGCACGTACCCACAGATGTCGTAGATGAATCTTTCAGGCCGTTGCTGCACTGATTCTGTGAGCACTCTGTTGAACAACGGCACAAACGCAGTGGCAAAAATATGCTCCAAGCCCCGGTACATCCCAGCAAACTCATGCGGATGCAGGTTGTTTACATACGACCGGAATTTCGCACTCTGTCCGTCCGCTGCCACATCTATCTCCGCGGGCAGCCACTGAAACTTTTCCGACAGGTACGAATGGTTCCCCGTCGGATAATACTCCTGGCGAGCCGGCTGACCGAGCGGCGGGGGGTGCGAAACCTCCCCGAGGCTGCTAACCAGCTGGTCCCAGGGAAGAACCGTGAGGTCTTGCGGGTCGTTGGGGGGGTGGGGGATGACTCGGGTGCGGCCGAACACAAGGCAGTGCAGACTGGGGTGTACGAGGTCTATCACTTGACGGTTGGAGCCCGGGTGGTAGTCTATTTGGTCGTCTGGCACGGATTCTAGCGCGGTGACTCCGTCTAGGAAGAGGTGATTGAGAGCGGGGTCCAGAGGCGGGTCTGGGGTGAGGAAGACGCCATCCACTGCAGAGGGGAGGATGTTGGGGTTGCCGTGGAGGGAGAGAGAGGAGAGGGAGGTGGAGAGAGGGAAGGAGGAGGGAGAGAGGGAGGGGTAGGAGGGAGAGGGGAAGGAGGAGAGGGAGGCGGCTTGCCAGCGGAGCTCAGCGATGGCGTAGGCGAAGAGAGCAGGGTCAATCTGGGCGACACACCGAGAGCGATGGGAAGGCAGAGGGGGGATGAAGTGATTTTTTTGGGGCGCCTAAAAAATCGCTCAGCGATGGCGTTGGCGAAGTTAGCATGGTTGATCTGGGAGACACAAAGAGATTGGTGGGAAGGGAGAGGGGGGATGGAGAGAGGGACAACGGAATAAGAAGGTTGGAGAAACGTTGAGGCGGAAACGGGGGGTGAACAGCTCGCCTAGACACAGACGCGGCAGCGAGCAGATGTACTTGTGCCCGAGCAGCGCTGCCCTTATTTACACACAAAAATAGGCAGGGAAAAGAACAGATGGCGAGAAATATATTCACTTATGTTCATTTTCTTTTGTTTGTTTCTTGATGAGAGATTTTTACACAAGGGAGGCTCACCGTTGCTTTCTTGGGATAAGTGACAGTTCTGTTTTTTAGGCGCCTCAAAAATAGATAACCTCTCGCGTGAGCAGATCACCTTGACAGGTCGCGTTGTGGTTTCCTTCAGAAACGAAAGCACGGCGGACGCTTCCTCTTGGCTCCAGTACTCCTTGCTGGCGTCAATGAAACCGTCAGGGTGGACGTCCGCTGCCGGCTCCGTCAACTCCGCCTTCCATTTCTCGACGATCTCGTCGTCCGTCACCTTCCGCGTCCAGTCCGGCTTCTCCCGAATCTGCCCCATGACGCGGCACAGCAGCAGCTCCTTGAGGCTTCGCACGGGAAAGCCGAGCTCGAAATCGCCGGCATTGTCGAACGGGTTGAGGAACGCCGGCAGATCCTGATTTATCGGATTCAGGTTGGGTGGATTCTGACACGTACCAGAATTCGTATCCTGATTCGTAGCCCGAAAAATGCCTGGATTTGGAATCTGAACCATGGCGTCAAGTGAGGAATGGATTGGCCGGCGAGCAGCAAAAGAGGGAGATTTGGAGAATGGCCGGCCTCTTGGACCAAGAAACGGACTAGCTGAACGCGTATTGTAAGAAGTGAACGGGAAGCCGCGGGTTGAGCGGAAGACTCCGCCGACCAGCCTACTACCCCAGCAGCAGACGGCAGAGCGGCCGAGAAATCTACTGGGAACTAGCGCAGCTGACATAGAGGAATGAGTGCGACTGCAGGAACAATCGCTCGCGGAGCCACAGGCGGAGGACGGTGAACGTGGTTGTGGGTAAAAACGTGGTTGCGGGTTCTTTTTCTTTTTCTTTTTCTTTTTAAGGCTTTTCGAGTGAACGAACAAGGATATGCTCAACGAAGACAGCGTGGGAGAAGAAAGGCAAATGAGGGGAACAAAGACACTGAACGAAGAAAGGTGAAGCTAGGGCTCCATTGAAATGCCCTTCAGAAACTTGTGTGAATGCTGGGCTTGGAATTCCCTAGCAGCAAGGCATCCGAATTCCAAGGCCCTAGGGCTATCGGAGTGCCCTTGGGCATCCAAATTCCAGCCTTCAATCAACGCGCGGGAATTTGTGCTTGTGCTTGGTGCGCTCTGATTGGTCGACGTGCTCCGCCAGGTCGCCAAAAAAATTTGGACCATTTCTCGATTTGTGCGTGTCATCCTTGCGCAGGGGCCATGCTAATCTTCTCTGTATCGTTCCAATTTTAACGGATGTCCCGAAGGACAACATCATTGAGGGAACGCGACAATTTGTTCAGTGCAAATTTGCTAGAAAGGATCCGGTGGGGCCTAATGCCACGTGTCTAAATTTGAGGACAAAGAACAAACGTCACCAATAAGGTACTGAGAGCCTGACAGTTCTAGCAGCAGCAGCAGCACCACTGAATGAATACGTGCCATCGCATCTCTGATCAAGATCCAGAACACGAGGCAGCTTTTACAGCACTCTGCACCACAGGCGCAGCCTAAAATATGCTCTGAACTAATGCTTTTCCACCAGCCTGCAAAGGCGTAAAAAAATTGGCAGATCACAGCTAATGCTCCTTAGAATCTTTCACTAACCAATGCTGCACTGCTCGGCACACCCTCATCTCAACCCTCACAGCCAGCCCTCTCTGCTGCACATATAAGCCTTCCTTTCTTCCTGGACAAGCCATGCCGCATCATGGGTATTTCTTCCTACCGATTCATGTTGAATGGGCCTTCATAATGCTGGGCAGACCCATACTCTGCAAAGACTTTTGCTCGTTTGCAACCTAACCAGCGGGTGTTCTGAACTGCCCTGCACTAGGTTTATCCTCCTGTCATGCTTCTCGTCGAGCACTCTTCTACGCCCCTTGGAAGATCTTCCCCAGCCGCATGATCCCGCTGGCCCTCTTCTTCCTGTCCTCTTTAGAAGCTGTCTTGTCCTTCACTATAAGCTCCACCACGTGGCGCAGTGTACTCTCTATGTCCAGCACGCTTATCTGGATAAGGTGTAGAGGGTAAAGATGGATGATTCAGGGGATAAGGAAGGAGAGAGAAGAGCAAAGGGGAGACTGAATAATTGAGAGAGCGAGAGTGTGCTTCACTACAAGCTCCAGAGCGTGGCACATTGTACTCTAGTGGCCAGCACGCTTCTCCGTGGTGGATGGGCAGTGAGGAGGAAGAGCGGGGGAGAAGGGGGAATGAGAGAGTGAGTGAGTGCCAGTCACTGCTTGGCTCCACCACAGGTCGTAGTGCACTCTCAATGTCCACCGCGTGCGCTCAATAGTGTGATGGTGAATGATCAGGGGGGAAGGAGGTACTGCAACCAAGGAAGGGGTGAGTGAGTGAGTGAGTGTGTGTGTGTGTGTGTGCGTGCGTGTGTGTGTGCATGGGTGTTTGTGTGTGCGCGGTTGTGTGTGTGCAAGTGCGTGAGCCACGAGACGGAAGGAGAGAGGTCAGCAGAGAGGAAAGAACCACATGGCATCGTGTGGAGTCAATGGCAGAGAGGGGGGAGAACGCGACAAAAGAATTAGGATCATGCATAATTCAGGATTACGACCCTTACCCGGTCACTATTGCCCTTTTGGGGATTTCCAAAACGCGTACATCTTATTCCGTGGATATTCATACAAGTAGAAATGGATACAATCACATAGATGTATATATATATACATATAAAGCAGTCCCACTCACCATCCAGACGGAGTTGAGGAACTCGGGCATATTGGCTTGTTCACTTGCCGGCTTTTGCGGGTCCATGTTCACCTTCATCTCTGACAGTCTGGGGGGTGAGGGACAGGGGCAGGGGAATTGGGGGGGAACCATGAATGCTGTCGGTCTTTGACTTTGAGAATGCCAAGATGGAGCTGACGACAGAGCATGCCATGGCAGGTGCAAGGGGCCGTTTCAGGGAGCCTCAGAAGTCCATAAAAGTCTCACTTACTTAAGCACAGTGCTGAAAGCATTGTATCATGTCTTCATAATGTGTCCAGCCAGACTCCTGTATTCCTTACTGTAAGCAAATTCCAGCCTCCCCGTTCTCCCATTGCTTTTGCAGACGCCAAATCTAAAAGTTTCGCTTACTTGAGCGCGGCGTGAACCGCGTTGCATTCACCTCAGATAGCGTCAATTCTCTATCCGAGCTGCATATAAGCATCACTTACTTAAGCGCGGCGTCGACGGCGTTGTATCGCGTCTTCATGGTGTGGCCGGACTCCTTCACTGCATTCACAAAGCCCGGAATGCCCAGCATTTCCGTCAGCCCTAGTAGCACTTGAGCGCGGGAGTAGTAGGCGTAGCTGGTGGGGGGGGGGGGGGGGGGGGGGGGGGGGGGGGGGGGGGGGGGGAGGGGGAAGGGGGAGAAAAAGGGGGACGGGGGGGGGATAAGCATGGGCGGAGGGAAGCGGGGGCACGGGAAAGGCAGAACAGGTGGAAAAGGAGGGTGCGCTCTCATGCTTTCACCAAGCCCGGGATGCCCAGCGTTCTCGTCAGCCCTGGCAGCACCTGAGCAGGGCAGAAGAAGGTGTAGCTGGTGGAGGTGGGGAGGGAGGCGTGGGTGGGGGGGAGGTTTGAACGGGAGGGGCAGAACGAGAGCAAGCGGAACAGAGAACACGAGAAAAGACATATGGGTGTCCGTCTGTGCGTTCACAAAGCCTGGGATGCCCACGTGACTTTTGAGTCGGCTCAAAAGTTGATACAAGAAAAGACATATGAGCGCCCGTCTGTGCGCGCACCAAGCCCGGAATGCCCAGCATGCCTGTCAGCCCTAGAAGCACACGCGCACAGGAAAAGTAGGTGCGGCTGTTGCGGTGGAGTTAGGGCGGTGGGGGGTGGAGGTGGGGGGCGGTGGGGGGAGGAGAGAGGGCAAGGGTGATGCAGAAGGGGGAGAGAGTACGCTGAGGGTGGGTGAGGGAGAGTACGAGGGGGGTAGGAAGGGGGAGGGGGAGGGTGGGAGGAGTAAGGGGTGAGAGGAAGTATGATGAGGGTGAGAGGAAGTATGATGAGGGTGAGGGGAAGTATGATGAGGGTGAGAGGAAGTTTGATGAGGGTGGGCGAGGGAGGAACATAAGGGAAGTGAGGTGAGGCACGTTCAAAGAGGGGGGTGAGTGACCGAGAGGCGGATCGTGGGGGATAGAAGTGAGATGTGGACAGAGGGGAGGTTGAGACTGAAGAGTTCCCGATCATTACCCAACAGCACATACCCCATATAGAGCAGCATCACAGACATACTGGCAAGCCATGATAAGAAATGCTTACCTTGATGCAGCAACCACATGTGACACGCTACACCACATACCCCATACAGTGCCAAAGCGCCCTGCAAAACGCCTCGCCCTTCTACCCCTTCCCCTGCACCACCGCATCTCTCGCAAAGGCCCTCCCTCCTCACCTCATCACCCACTCCCCCCAAAAGTTGCTTCTAAGCCAATTCAGAAGCCACAGCATCCCACACAAACACCCCCCATCCCGCATGCAGCCATCACACGGACACCACAGCATACCCTATACAGTACGGACGCGTTACAGTGCAGGAACGACTTTTGAGGCGCCTCAAAAGGCGTTCCAGTGCAGGAAGGAACGCCACGCCACAGCCAACGCCCCCCCCTTCAGGTCCTCCACCTGAGCCACAGCATCCCCGCCCAACCCCTCCTCGCCGCCCTTCAGCCATCACGCACTCCACCACATACACCACATACCCGATACAGTGCAGGCAAACCACACACCAGAAACAGTGCAGGTCCACCACATACCCAATACAGTGCCGGTAAAGCACACACCCAATACGGTGCAGGTAAACCACACACCCGAAACAGTGCAGGTCCACCACATACCCGATGCAGTGCTGGTAATCCACATACCCGATGCAGTGTAAGAATGCCACGCCGAAAGCCTCCCCCTTGAGATCCTCCAACTGAGCCACAGCATCCCGCACAAACCCCTCCTCGTCCCCCTTTAACCACGGGTCCAGCCTCTTCAGCAGAATGTTCGCCAGCTCCCTCTCCCTCTTCGCCTGCCACTTCTTCACCTCAGCAACCGTCAGGTTCCCAGCAGCTGTGTACGCGATAGTGAGCTCTCCCACAAGCGGTTTGAACTTATCCGCGCCGAAAGCCATGGTGAAGAAGGAGCCGGGGTCCATGAAGGTGTCCTCGAGCGCTGCTCGCCCGAAGCGGTCGTACTTCTCTCGCTTGTCGGGATCCATGAGGACCTGGTAGGCCTCGCCGACGGCTTGGAACTTTGCCTTGGCGCCCTCGTCGTCGGGGTTCTTGTCCGGATGGCACGTGCGCGCCAGCTGCAGACGCGGTATAAAACGTAAGAAGGAGGGTTCAGGGGACGGTATGACTCCGAGGAAGGGGGGCCAGGGAAGAGCAAGATTGCCCGGATGGCATGTAAGCGCTAGCTGCCGATGCGTGTAAATGGGCGGGCGGGAGGTTCAGGGCAGGGTAAGGTGGGAAGGGGGTGTGAGGGTAGTTTTTTAGAATTCTCAAAAATCACCTACGGTATGGGGGAGATGGGCCCTCGCGTGCTGAAGCTGTGTGCTTCGTTCGGCACACTCTTGTGACCCAAACGGTGGAGGAGGGCCATCAGGGGGGCGAGAAGTGGACTTCTTGAAGCCCATTGTGACACAAACGGAGGTGCTCCTGAAGGCAACAGAAGTGGATAGGGTCCGCAGCTCGACAACCATGTCACTCACATCACCATCCACATCACCACCCTCTAAAACACCACCCCTGACACCATCCACATGCCCATCATCACCATACACATGACCATCATCACCATCCACATGCCCATCATCACCATCCACATCACCGTCATCATCATCATCACCGGCCACATCACCCACGTCACCACCCACATCACGACCCCCCGACCAAGCTCATCAGACTCCCCCCCCTCCTTCCCCCGACCCCCCCACCCACATCACAATCTCCCCCCCACCACCCACCTTGTAGTAAGCCTTTTTAATCTCCACCGACGTCGCGTCGGTTCTGACCTCCAGAACCACATAGAGCTCCTCGTCCTTAACCTCCCTCTTCTCCCGCTCCTTCTCCGCAGCTGCCGCCGCTTCAGCGGCTGACGTGGCAGCCGCTGCGTCAGCAGCAGCCTTAGCCGCTGACGTGGCGGTCGCCTCTGCCTCCGCTTCGAGCGCGATCTTCTCTACCGTCTCGCGCTCGTGGGAATAAGTCTCTTCGTTAAGCTTATCCGCGTCGTCATCCTCTAATACCTCCCCTTTCTCCGCCTCCTCCTCGCACTTATCCTTCTTCATCATCTCCCGGACCGCGTCCGGCATGTTCTTAATCCCCTGCCCTAGCTGCTGCGCGCCTTGCACTATTCCAATAGTAGGCAGCACGACGAGACTAGCGACTCCAGCCACGGTCCCTTTAACTAACCCGATCCCGCCCTCCTGCGCGGCTCCCGCAATTGGCGCCGCGACGAGCGCGCCGACGCCTGCGAACACGCCTTTGCCGACGGAGATAAAGCCTTTACGGATGCCTTCGCGAAGGTTCTTCGCGCTGCGGTCGCCGTAGAGCTGGTCGATGCGCTCCTGAACCTCCTTTAGTGTCATTGGCTGAATGCCCCCACCGCTGCCGCCGCCGCCACCGCCGTCGCTCGGCGGAGGGGGCGCGGACGCCATGGATTTCGCTGGCTTCGAGCTGATCAAAGGAAGGTGATAGTAAGGAAGAGATGCAAGCGAGATAATGGAAGTGTAAGAACAGAATAAGATCGCCGGTCTTCATTGCGCTTTGAGCCGCTTCGAAGCCTTACAAAGGGCACGCTGGATAAGGGTGCAAGAGGTGGCACGTAGGAAACAGAGATTGTGGTTAACTCCGGTATATACAACGACGTGCGAACCTGTCACTGACTTGGCCACAGGAGAGGGTTAACTAATACGATCCTTAGAGTCACCAAAGGTACGAGCGGCTCCAAGTAAAGCAATAAAAACAGGAAGAAACGAAACGGCAATGCTCGCTTACTCCTGATTCGGCAGGAACTCCGCGGCTCGGCGAAGAGCGCTTGGAATGCTCGCCGGCACCCAAGCTGGGCGTCGTTCGCGCGCTATACTGGGCGAGGGGAAAAAAATAGAATGTCACTGCTGCCTGAACGGAAAACGGAGGACGCGCCTCGGAAATAGGTCCTCGGAATAAGTAGCAGAATTCCTGACTGTGTGATGAATTGCTTGTGTGGTTTGCCTGAAATTACTTGTGTTGCGAACCTCAGAGGAAGCCTAGGGAATCCCCCCTCAGGTTTTGTTTGTGCTGCTTGCGACAACTCGGGCGAACCTAGGGAGGGGTGTGCGACAGAGAGAGCAGTTGTGCGGGCGCGGAATGGACGGAAAGGTAGAATCTCGGTGGAGGGAGGGACGGTCGCTTCTGTTCAGTGGAGGCGATAGCTGGGTGATGATGGCAGCCTCCGACTGCCTGGATTGGTGCACGACTGTATGGAAGTCGTCGGCTGGTGGTGCTAGTTTTCGTGTCGCAAGAATCGAGAAAGCCTTTTTTTTTTTTTTTTTTGCCCGTTGATGGCTTCGGCCGACCACACGCACAGTGAGCAAGCAGTCACTGAGCGACGGCGACGCAATGTGGCGGTCACTCCAAACGATCGCACACATAATTTTGGGTTTCATTCATGTACCTGGACGAAAATCTTGGCTGAGTTGGAACCCTTTCCAACGACACTCGCATGCTCACGCAAACCTGACGATGCGCCTCGACATATGTAGCCGTTGATTCTCACTTCAGGCCATCCTGATACAATTCGAACCTTAAGACAAATACACCGATGCGGTATACAGGCTATATCATACATGGAGCCTAGATCAAGTAAGGAAGCAAAAAGGCTAGGAAACGGGGATTCTAACACAGCAAGACCAAGTTGATTTTATAGTGGATATGATACTCAAGCAGAAAGGATAAACATGTGAGAATGGGGTGGAAAGGTGTCAGGTTAGATTCTTCAACCCCATAGTCCGAAACATTGTCAACAAGCAGTTGCACTAGGTACCTCGTCACTGTTCAAAGATGAAAGCGAGAGGCTAAGGTTAAGATTCAGAGGACAGGAAGGCGGACTCCTAGACCCAAAGCTGGTAGTCGTCGTGCCGCTACAGGAGGCGGCGTAAACATAGGCTCCAGGGTCCTTCCCTGGACCAGAAAAAGCAGGCTCGTTAGCGTCATTAAAAGTCGGACTTTCTGCGATTGGCTGTGCCGCAACAACTTGCAGCCCTGGATGAGACATGCATGGGAGCATCCATTGTTGACTTTGCTCAAGCGCCAGCTTCTGCCTCTGCTGGATGGCTAGCTGCTCCCTCTGCTGCTGGATGACCGCCTGGTGTGATGCCAGCAGAAGCGCCGACAGCTTCTCCTCCTCTCCCACCCGCAGCCTCTTCCTCCTGCCGCCTTCCGGGTCCGGAACCCGAGGCTCAACCACGGCTTGGTGCTGCGCCCACCGTTCACGCTGCGCGGAGTTCAACCGCGGCTGTCTCATCCCACCCTCCTCTTCAGCCACGACTGTTTGGCATGAACTGTTCCTCGAGAACATGCCGTAACCCCCTCCAGCCTCCACCCAGCTCATCATACAGGCCGAGTCTTCTCCCATGATCCGGTGCGCAGCGGCTTCCTCCAGGTGATGTTGAGGATGCCCTCCCAGCCGCGGCATGTTGAGGGTGACCTCGGGGAGCACCACGCCTTCGCCAGCTTCGCCGCTCGTCCCTAGGGTCTGCAGCCTGCGACAACGCCACACGTGCCGCTGCTGCCGCTGCTGCGGCTGCTGCCGCTGCTGCTGCTGCTGCCGCTGCTGCGGCTGCTGCTGCTGCGGCTGCTGCTGCGGCTGCTGCTGCTGCTGCTGCTGCTGCTGTGCCTCGTCAGGCAGCCCGCCGCCGAGCCAGAGATCGTTGCAGGCGCGAAGCAGCAGGCAATTCTCTTCATTCGATGCCGACGCAACGGCGATGGCGGCGGCGGTGGCGGTGGCGGCAGCTGTAAGGCGGTCATGCATGGGAGTCATCTGTCTGGGGTAGGTTTCTCCCTCCTGTTGGAGAGCGTGCAGCTCGGAAATGCCCGCAACAAACGGCAATCCGTCCGAGAAGCGGGCAAATTCCAGCACACCCCGTTTGCCAAGAATACTACCACTACCAGAATCGCGGCTGACGGCGCCTGCGGGGTCCATTGGCCCGTGCTGCCTGCTGGGAGCAACCATCATGCGGCCGCCGCTTCCGGTTGCAGTAGCAACAGTGAAATCTGTAGCGGATTTCGTTTGTAATGAGCTGCTAGGGTTCCACGATGGCGGCGCGTCGTAGAAATGCCTCTGGGAATTTGCCGCGGCGACGCGAGTATTGGACGCTTGAGCTGCTGTTGCTGCGGCGGCCGCAGCGGAGGCGCTGGCGGCGGCAATTTTCAAAAGGGCCGCCGCCGGGTTGGGAAGGCATCTGGCGCCCGCCGCCGCTTCGAATGCTGCGTCGCTGTGGGGTTGCGGCGGCAGCGGCGGCAGCGTCGGCGGTGGCGTCGGCAGCGGCGGGGCTACGAGCGTCGACCAGAAGGGCGCGGACTGACTGAGATCCATACGATCGAACGGCGCAGCCGCGACTGCCGCCGCGGCAGGCGGTAATGGCGCCCACGTAGGCGCGAAAGGCGGCGGCGACGTGGCGATAGGAGGAGGAGCGGAGTGCTGGCACATGGTGACGACGGGTAGTTGGGGAACAATGGGGAATCTAGAAAATGCGGGAAACTCGAGGAGATTGGGAAAATATGGGAAATACGGAAAATCGGGGGAAGCTTAGTGCTAGGGTTAGTAGCGCCAGATTCGACCCCGAAGAGATGGGCAGAAACTGGCACACGAGCTTAGAATTGCAATCACTAATGCATCTGTAGTGCTGCGCTTCACATGGCGTCTCACTCGTATTCTACTCGTCGCTGGAAGGCTCGGCGAAATAAACAACTATGTCGTCGCTTCGCTTCGACGCTCGCAGCGAGGCTGTGCCGCTCTCTTCTAGAACAAGGCCTCGCCGCGGAGCGGGGTCGACATGGTCATCAGTTCTCGCTTCCGGTCAGGTCCCTCCCTCCCCCGACCCCCCCTCCCGTCCAGTTTTGAGGCGCCTCAAAACTAGACTCCCTCTGTCGGCTCCCCCTCCCGTCCCGTGACGTCCCTGCGTGCGCTTCCCCTTCAACACGAGTTGTGCGCGTGAGTCGTGAGTCGTGAGACGTGACGCGTGACCCGTCGTGACGTGAGTCATGACTCTCTGGAATCACCCGGGTGGAGGCGAAGCACCAGAGTGGTGGCGGGCGAGGCGACCGACCCTAGTGAAGAAGAACCAGTGAACCACCCACCCATCCTGTCGCGAGCGGCTCGCGAATCACGCGGCGAAGATAGGACCTCTGGCCATGGGTGCAGACTGAGGGGGGTGGCCATTGGCCAACCTTCAATGATGCTCGACAAATCATGAGCCGCTGCTATGATGCTGTCACCTGACCTGAGCAACGCTGAGAGACCTAGTCTGTAACAAGGCCTATGGCGAAAGCTCAAGCGAAAACGGCCATTGGTTGGTGGTCCAGTCGGTGGGATGGGGGAGCGGAGAGGGAGGGGGGGGGGGGTGGGTGGGGGGGCCCAAAGGAGACCGGGGGGGAGACTGGGGACGAAGATGACGTCTTGTAGCATGGCATGTACGTGCGCGCGCGGTAGTGCGTGAGTGGCGCGCGGGGTATCTGCGCGGGACTCATGATGATATCCTAGTTTGCCAGTCGCGAAGTCAGGACCGAGGTCTCTCTAACAACGAGCCAGCAGCAGCAACGAGGGACAAAGTAATAATAATATAATGTAATCTGCTAATTTCTGCGCGTGGGCAGGAGGTGGTAGCAGGGATGAGAAGGCAGAAAGGAACGGAAAGTGAAGGGACCAGCAACCGCTTGTTTCGGGCTGCGGGCGTCACGACGCGCGGATCCACACCACCTGACGTCACAAGTGGGACTGGTCGTCTTGACATTTTGGACGCCGAGCGGCTCTGGGAAGCTCTGCCACCACGCGTGGTGTGATGTGATTAGCTGACACTCAGAGAGCCGCGAAGTAAATGAGGGGCAGCGTAGCTGTACGTGCAACACTTAAGCATGCTGACCCCAGCCCGACCTCTTGCTCCCCCTCGAATTCTGCTTTGCTTGCCTCTGCCAGTCCCCCCAGTTCGTTTCATCACGCCTTCGTTCTCGAGCGGGCAGCAAGCACCAGACAAGATTTGTCAGTTGTAATTTATATTCGGTCAAGTAAAATTTTCAAGGGTAGCAGATCCGGGCAGATCAGAAACGCCGAAGCTTTCCACTTCACAGTGATTCCAGCTCAGCGTGACATTTCGACTCTGCAACACTAATACAGAACAACGAAAAATCATGTTCTATTTAGGGTAAAGGATGTGCATGGGGGCTTAGGGCGTGTCACTAAACTACCCATAAAACGCGCCCGAATAGGAGACGCTCAACACCCGAAATTGGCGGACACAAGCGCACGTTTCCAGGTACCTCCGCACGACAAAAAAAGACCGCACAACAATCCAATTCGCCATCCAATACCAACACTAACTCAAGCGAAATTGCCGCGCGAAACTTTGTGGCCTCGCATGTCGCTAGCGGACAACTTTCCCTGCCAAATCCAACACACCCACAAATTCGATTGGCCTTTACACCCCCGATGCGCCGATTGGCCCCCCTTTTCTTACACGTGCTTGTTGCGCTGGTTTCGCATGGCGGGACCCGTTACCCGCTACAGCGGGTATGCCATCAGGTCCACGACATTTTACTCCACGTAATACTCCAAGGTCCGAAATTCGATAAGATCGGACACGATGTACTCCGTCTGTACGGTATACATCTACTGTTGACTTCGCTAAAAAAGCGCAATAAAACATTGTGACCAATCACGACAGTCGCATAATGCCACCGACCATCTAGTCGCGCCACCCGAATTGGGTGCGATCCCAGCATGCGAGTGTCGCCAACCAACCCGTGAGTGCGAGCTCGGAATTTTCTCGTGAACTGTCCTTGGAATTAACCGGCCAATACGCTCTTGCCAGGGCGATCAGACGTAATCACGACGGACCAAAAAAGTGACAGCCTGTTGCTGATACCACCGTCCACCTGGCAATTTTGTATGCGCGCTGACCTGGGCATGAATCCTGTTGGGCTGAGAAAAGCCCTTAGGATCTTTCCAGAGACTAAGTCCCAGTTGTAAAAGGCTTGAGTAGTGCAGCGGAAGTTGAGGCAGTTGATGTTAAAATTATATAAGTTATAATTTAATATAGGCTTGGTAGGTTGTTACTGAACCTTTCTGTAGAGGGTACAAACCCTTTCTTGTACTCCTCTCTCTTCCTAATCAATCTCCTTTCTTCTCGACATTTCTCTCCCTTCCTAGATCCGTTTTCCTCACGCCATTCTATGGCGGCCTTCTTGCTAGTATCCTAGCCAACCTAGCCTCCTAAGTTTAAAAACCTTGAGTCCTAAGTTTCTAAGATGGTATCAGAGCCGGTCGTGTCCACCGGACCCTCTTCCTACGTTCCCGTTGCGTACTCCTGCTGCATTCGCAGCCTTCGCGGTTTTCTGCCTGCCTGCCGTCGCGGCACTAAGATGTCGCGACGGCCCCTTGTTGCCTGCCGTCGCGGCGCCAGGATGTCGCGACGGCCCCTTGTTGCCTGCCATCGCGGCACCAAGATGTCGCGACGGCCCCTCGTTGCCTACCGTCGCGGCGCCAAGGTGTCGCGACGGCCCCTTGGTGCAGCCGTCGCCCGTCCGCCTCGCCGCTGCGACATTGACGGTGCGCTGTGGCGGCATCTGCAGCAGCCGACGGCATCGTCGGGCTGCGGCCGGCCGAGCGATGTCTGTGGCTTAGCCGGGCCTGCCGCCCGCTCGCCAGCCACGGGCGTCCCTCAGGACGACGTCCTCCCGCCAGTAAGCGCCGCGCCATTTATGGCGCGTCGCTGAAGACTCGCCCCGCCCCCCCCCCCCCCCATTCTCCCTTCCCCCTGCGTCTTCCCTTCCTCCTGTCGCAGCTGCTGTCTTCTGCCCGGACGTTGCCACATCGCCGAGAGCCCTCAGCCGCGGCGGTCGCCGCCTGTTGTCGGCGACCCAGCCGCCTTGAGCCAGAGCTCCGCCGCTGCTTGTCGCTGACCCGCCCAGACGCCGTAGGCTGCCTCGTGTACGGGGGTGTGTCAACGCTTTGCACGAGGGTCAGATACCCGGCTAAGCACGAGCTTGAGGGTGTGCGGGGTTAGGGGGTGGGTTGGGTGGGTGTGTGACTACCAAGCCTAGGGGGTGTGTTAAAATTATATAAGTTATAATTTAATATAGGCTTGGTAGGTTGTTACTGAACCTTTCTGTAGAGGGTACAAACCCCTTCTTGTACTCCTCTCTCTTCCTAATCAATCTCCTTTCTTCTCGATATTTCTCTCCCTTCCTAGATCCGTTTTCCTTACGCCATTCCATGGCGGCCTTCTTGCTAGTATCCTAGCCAACCTAGCCTGTTGAGTGACCCGCTGGGGTTGCCCTTGAGATCCTCGGGGAAGGGCCACAGGTGCAGAGCCTGGGGGGCTATGGGCGCACTTACCCGCTATTCAACAAGCCCTTTTAACCCAGTGGTTAGTGACTGAGTTTCTGACATGGTATCAGAGCCAAAGGTCTTGGGTTCAACTCCCAGTGCCAGCGCTGCAGAGGCGCTCGTGTCTTCCACATATCCCAGCGGGGGGGGGGGTGTTGAGTGACCCGCTGGGGTTGCCCTTGAGATCCTCGGGGAAGGGCCACAGGTGCAGAGCCTGGGGGGCTATGGGCGCACTTACCCGTTATTCAACAAGCCCTTTTAACCCAGTGGTTAGTGACTGGGTTTCTGACATTGCCTCCTAAGTTTAAGAACCTTGAGTCATAAGTTTCTAAGAGTTGAACCCTTGTACTGGTATATGAGAACAAGTGATTGATTAAAAGAAACAAGCATACAGCAATATATAAGAGAACAGGAAAGTAAAGCAGTTGCAGAATACAGTTGCAGGAGCGGTTATCGAGTCGCACAGCGACTCGATTGTCGCTTCGGTTACCACCCGTGCAGTTGTAACGGTCAGTCGCAACCTCCAGTTGCGACCCTTCGAGTCCCTTCGCGTTCTTTCTCCATCCCCTCGTGTAACCTCCGTTGACTCGCGTACCTGTTACGATCTTCCTCGAGTGTAGTGTTACACTTCAGAAACGCTTAAGTCCTTTGAGATATTTCCAACAAATCCGTATCCCCTTTTCATCCATTCTGTCTTATTATTTCGGTCCTATTCTAATCCTCGTGTCAAAAACATTCGCAGCGTTTTCCATATTTCATAACCAACGACGTAAATATTCAGGCTTTCCGCGTGACACGAACAGGTCCGTCCCGAATACGAAAACAGGACCCACGGTCCCTCAATCACCATTAACCAGTGCACATTTCGAAAATGTTTTTCTTCAATTGTTTTTTTCACCGTCGCGAAAGTGTGTGATTGGTTAACGAAACTTTTCAGGCGAGTCGTCATAATTTCGTTACGTTAAGCCCTTTTCGTGAGATCACGAACAGGGTTTTTCAAATTTTATGATTTACGCGCTTAGAGCCTGCGCTGCTTGCGGAAGGTCGAGAACGAGGTTGTTGGGCTGAGAAAAGCCCTTAGGATCTTTTGCAGAGACTAAGTCCCAGCTGTAGAGACTTGAGACTTGGAGTAGTGCAGCGGAAGTTGAGACAGTTGAACCCTTGTACTAGTATGTGAGAACAAGTGATTGATTAAAGAAACAAGCATACAGCAATATATAGAAGATAAGAAAGCAGTTGCAGAGTACAGTTACAGGAACGGTTTATCGAGTCGCATAGCGACTCGATTGCCGCTTCGGTTACCATCCGTGATGCTGTAACGGTCAGTCGCAACCTCCAGTTGCGACCCTTTGAGTCCCAGACCCTTCGTGTTCTTTGTCCGCCCCCTCGTGTAACCTCCGTTGACTCGCGTACCCCTTGCAATCTTCCTCGAGTGTAGTGTTACACTTCAGAAACGCTTAAGTCTTTTGATGTACTTTCAACACTCCCCTTCGTTTCTGGAGTGCTGACTTGTTCAGGTAATGCTGCAGAGTCAGTCGTTCGTAGAAGATAACGTCTCGTGATGCCACCGTGTTTTTGTCTTGTATGTCGAGAATTTTCCACGCGTGAAAATGTTTCGCGATGCCGAGGTGGAGTCCCCACCGAGCTCGTTGTGTGAAGCGTCCTGCTCGGGCTGTGTGGGGTCTGTACTGTACCATGCAGCCAAAGACTCTGAGTAATTTTGTGCTGCCCCTTTTTCTTGTCCACAACAGGTGCGGTGATGCGTTGTTGGGAAGTGATGACGAGGACAGCAGGTTGTGCAGGTGAACAGCATGTGTCATCGCGTCTGGCCACAGTGTGGTTGGCAGTCGCATCCCCTGAAGCAGTTTTCGCATCGTCGTCTGCAAGGTCCGATTCATGCGTTCTGCTACCCCCTGCTGTTGGTGAGCATAGGGCAGGGACACCAGGCGTCTGATTCCCCTTTCCGCCAGATAGGTCCTGAAGCGTTGTGACTGGTATTCCAGTGCACCGTCTGACTGGAAGCTCTTGAGTTTGAGTCCTGATTCTCGTTCGGCGATGGGGAGCCATGTTGTGAAGGCTTCGAAGGCTTGGTCGCGCGTTTTGAGATTGAAGTGCCAGACATATCTGGTTGCGGCGTCGATGAAAGTGATGACGTAGTTAAAGTCGGCTTCGGCGTCGTCTCGAGACATGTTTAAAATATCGCTGTAGACTTTTTCCATCGGAGCGTAAGTAGGTGCGCTTGGGTTGTGATGGGATGGAAAAGGTTGATGAGGAAGATCTGCTTCGGGGCATGTGAAGCACCGTGCGCGTGGTCGTCGAAGTTCTTGACCGCTCGTCGTCAGAAGGGCGTTGCGTTCTAACACCTCTGCTTGGATTGTTTGAAGTATTGTGCTGTTTGCAGGGTGTCCGAGGCGTTGGTGCCAGATGTCGTCGGGAGCACGGTGACCGGGCGAGCGGTGGTAGATGTCGGCGTTGGAGAAGAACGCGACGACCGAGGCGGGACTTCGACAAGCTTCTCGTGTGGCGGGCATAAGTTGGTCTGCTTCCGTTGGCGGTCCTCGTGTTGATGGTGGTGGTACTCGGCTGGGTCCTGCTGCCGATACTGCAGGTGATGGTTTTGTTGGGACACTTGCGGGTACTTGTCTTTCTTGTCTGATAACTGCTAATGCTCGTGTTCTCTCTGCTGCAGGTATGGTGTTGGAGTGCCAGAAGCCGTCACTGTCGAAGTCGGGATCAAGATCTGGCGGGTGAGTCCAGGCGGCGAACGATACGATGCCATCGCTGTCGGCAGTTCCGCGGTCGGGGACGAAGTCCAACACGAAGACACCGGACTTCAGGAGGGCACGACCTATGAAGAGGCCGCCCTTCCCGTGGTAAAGCCGGAACTCGTTGGAGTAAGAGTCGCACTCCAGGTGAATCCCTTTGGCCATTAGTTGGCTTACGCTTAGTAGATTGTATCCCAGGTTGTCGACAATGAGCACTTTGTTGAGCTGCAGTATTACGTTTGTTTCCATGGATTGTAACTGAACCACGCCTTGTCTGTTTGTCTTCAGGTTTTCGTTGTTGGCGACTGTGATGACGACGTCGCGGTTGAGTCGTTTCTCCTGTTGCACGAAGCGTCCCGAGGAGCACATGTGTTGACCGCAGCAGCTGTCCAAGAACCAGGTGTTTCGCCCGGTGGGTTCGGCGTTGGCGACTGCAGCGTATGTCGGGTTGACCTGAAGTCCTTGCGAGCGCGGCGGCGGGAATTCCTCTTCGTCTGGTGCGTAAGTGGGTGGTGAACCGGGTGCGCAGTTGTCGATGTGTACCATGCAGTTGATGATGTTGGGTGTTTGTTGTGCAGATGTTGAAGAGCGCCTTGGAGGACTTGCTTGAGTGGAAGCGACTTGTGGGTCTGCTGCACGGTAAACGCGAGAGCTGCAGTTGACTTTGGAGTGCCCGGAAGTCTGGCAGTTGTGGCAGAACGGCGGTACGATGGTGAGTCCTCGGTTGTCGCGTTGATCTTGCTTGCTGCGTCGGTTGTAGTTGTTGTCATTTCTTCTTTGAGTGTAGAAGACTAACTGCTGTTGCTTCCTTGGTTGTCTTTCCTCGAACAGATCCATCTCCTGTTGTTCAGCGTGAAGCTCGGCGCAGAGGTGCATCTCCGAAATTCTTCCGTGGGCTCGAAGAAGTGATCGTGTGGTTCTCCATTCTGGCCCGAGCCCGGCGAGGACAAGTGTCACGAAGCTTTCTTCAGTGATCGTTCCTCCGCACCGAAGCAGGCGGTCGCGGAGGGTCTGGCAGCGACTCATATACTGCATCGCCTTTTCCCCGGTCTTCATCTGTATTGTTGTCAGCTGTTGCATGAGTCTGCTTTGTGTCACGTTGTCGTTTGCTTGGTAAAGGCACTTGAGGTGGTGCCATGCGAGCTCCGCGGAGTTTCCATAACTCCGATACGTTCTGATGCTCTGCTGCTCTTGTGGTGACAGGTTTCTCAGGAGTACCGTGTACGCCAGCAGCGACTGATATGTGAAGATCTCTTGTTCCTTCCCAGTGCCGTTGCTTGGGAATGGCAGGGACCCGTTGAAGTATCCCAGAAGATGCGCGGCCTCCATCAGCAGCTCGAACTCGAAGCTCCAGGTAAAGAAGTCGTGTCCGTTGAACGGTGAGGATGTCTGAAGTTTGATCACGTGTGAGACGTGCGCCTGTAAACTTAAGATTTCATTCGGTGTTTGTTGTGATGCAGCTGCTGTTGGCTGGGCACGGGGCGGCATGAATTCGAACGTCCCCGGCGAAGAATGATAAGGCGCAAAGGTAGGCGCTTGGTTGTGTCGCCCGAAGGATGAGTTGTCGAGGCTCATCGGCGCTAATCCCATATTCCCTCCATTGCTCTGTGTTGAGTGCGCAGGTGTCCTTGTCTGCTGCTGCTGGTCGAAGTGTGACATGAAGCTGAAGAATCTCTCCATGAGATTCGGGTCCACACTTGAAGAGGGAGACGGAGTCACCATCTCTGGTACTCTTCCCGTTGTTTCTTGAGTAGTCCCGGTCTCTGTCTGCAGTCCTGAGGTGTGCAGACCAGAGTTGCCGTGTTGAGTTTCTTGGGCGCTGGGTGAGCCCGTAGAGACTTTCTTGCCCTTGTTGTCCATGTCTTGTAATCAATGGAGTTGTTGAATCAAGTTGAGTTGCTGGTTGTTGATGGAGTGTAGTTGCTGGGAGTTTTGGTCTCTGACCAGCTCTCATACCATGTTGGGCTGAGAAAAGCCCTTAGGATCTTTTGCAGATACTAAGTCCCAGCTGTAGAGACTTGAGACTTGGAGTAGTGCAGCGGAAGTTGAGACAGTTGAACCCTTGTACTAGTATGTGAGAACAAGTGATTGATTAAAGAAACAAGCATACAGCAATATATAGAAGATAAGAAAGCAGTTGCTGAGTACAGTTACAGGAACGGTTTATCGAGTCGCATAGCGACTCGATTGCCGCTTCGGTTACCATCCGTGATGCTGTAACGGTCAGTCGCAACCTCCAGTTGCGACCCTTTGAGTCCCAGACCCTTCGTGTTCTTTGTCCGCCCCCTCGTGTAACCTCCGTTGACTCGCGTACCCCTTGCAATCTTCCTCGAGTGTAGTGTTACACTTCAGAAACGCTTAAGTCTTTTGATGTACTTTCAACAGAGGTGTTACTTCTATTTTCCGCGATAATTCTGACCATACGACAAATGTGCTGAACGTTTTTTAAGAGGCCACATGAGCCCACACATGACACTCGGCGAAGTCGCTGGTAACCTGGCCCAAGGGTCAATACGCCAAGGCACCCATCGTGAACAGAACGAGTAAAACGGCCTATGCCACCCCACCTAAAACCGTACGTGCTACTCGATAATCCATTTTGCCCATAGTGAACCGCTCTTATTCGTCCTAGTCCATATTTGCGAGTCGCGGATTTGGAGCATAGAGCATACCCCCTGCACCAAGTCTGTGCTGGTCTAGGTGCTGTCCTTCCGAACTGTACCCTTCATGTCGGGCCTGTTCCCAAAACGGGATCAGTTGAAAATTGATTCACATTGCGTACTGTGTCCAAAACGGGTTGACGATTTTTGGGGACACGCCCTTACAGATTTTGCTTCACAATAGAGATGGCTTCACACATTCAGAATTCTTACAACGCAGCCCCATTTGCTTGAACAATTTTCTTGCGAGGGCCCTGGAACCAAGCAGGTGAGAATTAGGCATACAAAAATCCATAGCAATACCTTATGGACAACCGAACATTTTAGGTAAGCATCACTGCAACAAGACATCGCCGTTGATAAAAGCCATAAGGGTACCTCACCATATTCATCAATACCTAAGACCAAATCAATGCCACACTGCAGTCCATTACCATACGAATGTGTACTGTGCTCTCACAAAGTGGATGTATGTGCACCATGCTTTCACCATGGGCATGTATGTGAACCATGCCCTTGCCATGGTCATGCATGTGTACCATGCTCTCACCATGGGGATGCATGTGTACAATGCCCTTGCCATGGGCATGCATGTGTACCATGCTCTTACCATGGGGATGCCGAGCTCCTTCAAATCGTTTTCCGACATGCGATGAAGAGTGTGCAAGTCAATCTGGTGGGAGACGAAATACAAAGCAGCAACCAGAACACACGAGTGAGAGGCGGAAAGGCAGAGCGAGAGCCAGTGCAGTGCAGACGGTGAGGTGAGCATGTGAGCCTGCGCCACACACATGGTCAGTCAAGCGTGTGAGCCTGCTGCGCCATACAGATGGTCAGGCGAGCATGTGAGTCAAGCTATGATTCTGGATTCGATTTTGGGTTCGAGTCTGACGCAGCAAGATTCTTTGCCATGCAATGCAGGTAGACGGAGTGGAATAGCAAGTCTAGGCACTCCAAGGGGTAGAGTATGTGTGTGTGTGGGGGGGGGGGGGGTGTAAGAGGAGGGGGGGAGGGGGGGTTGTGTTGTGGATGTGTGTGTGTGAGTGTGAGCGCGAGCGTGCGTGAGTAGATTGCCTGAATGGGGGAGGTAAGACGAACAAATCACCTCTTCTGTCTGGAACAGGTCGGCATACTTGCTGAGCCCAAGGCCGGCAAGAAACGAAGCAACGGTCTGGATGGGTGGATACGGTGGATTAGGAGTAGGGAGGTGAGGGGTGAAAGGGGGGAAGAGGGGGGGGGGGAGGGGAGGGGGGAAAACGGGGGGGGGGAAGGGGGAAAAGGGGGGGGGAGGGGGGAAAATGGAGGGACGGGGGGGGACATGAACAAGGGCAAACAGAGAAAAGGCCATAGGAGTTATACACCATAATTACACCTTAATTACACCATAATTACACCATAATTACACCTTAGTTACACCATAAGAGTTAGGCCATGGGATTTAGGCCATCGTTCACGCAATAATTACATTCCTCCCAAAATTGTTCTCCCCCTTACCTGCTAGTCTTCCTCTTCTTCACTTCCCACGGCCCCGCTCACATTACCCTTTCCTCCTCTCCCCCTACTCCTCTCATCCTCCCCTTCCGCCTCCCTCCCCCTTACCCCTCTCAACTTGCCCCTTCCCAAACCCTAATCCTCTTCCCCTCACTCCTCTGCTCCCTACTGCTCTTACCTTCCTGGCAGTTCTATAGACTAAGCAACCGGAGGGTAACCACTCTGCTTACACCTCCTCTACTTCTCTCCTCGTTTCTCACTCAATTGCATTCAACCTGATCCCTAAACATTCGAATGACGCCCCCCGAACCTCATCACCCCCCCCCCCACCACCTCACATTCTGGGACATGTCAAAACACAACCTGATCCATGCCCCTTCCAGAAATCCCCCCGTCTCATCACCCACCCCTTCCAGCTCCTGCCTTCCCTACATAGTCACCGAATCAGAAGTTACCTACTTGCTCCACGCTCACCCACCCTACATAGTCACATTATACCCAAACCCTGAATCCTGACTCGACTCAATTTTCCCTACCTGCTGCTCCTGATCGCCCCCCTCCCTCCATAGCCAAGTTTACCTCCCAATACCCTTCTAATACATTGACCTGCTCCTCCTCTCCCCCTTCCCCCACTCCCCCCCCTTTCTCCCCCCTCCCCCTCCCCTCTCCCCCCCCCCCCCCCCCCATAGCCACTTTTTATCTCCATTCCCTTCTGAGTAATGAGCCGCTTCTGAGATAATCAACCGGCTCAGATGTATCTCACCTGCTCCTCCTCGCCCCCCTCCATAGTCACATCCGCTTCCATTGCTGTCACCCCCCTCTCAGCTCCCACCCCTCCTAGCACTGTGCTTCTCCTCCTACCGCCTCCCCCTCCAACGCTCCCATCATTCGCCACCACCACTGTCAGCCGCCTCTGCTGCTGCTCCTGCTGCTTCACCACCCGTCCTCCCCCCCCTCCCCCTCCCCCTCCTGCAGAAGCAGCAGCGGCAGCAGCAGCAGCGGCTATTCTGATCACCCCTCCCGGATCCCCACTAGCCACCCGCTCATCACTCCTAAATGATCGATTCGTCACAGCCCCTCTACCCCTCACCACAACCCCCCCTCCCCCCCTTGCTGGTGCTGCTCCGCCTCCTCCCCTTCCCCCTTCCCCCCCTCCTCCCCCATCCCCTGCTAGAATTCCCGCACTGCCTCCCCCCCCAGCGCCTAGTCTCCCCCTGCTGGTATTCCCCCCGCTCCCCCCGCCCCCCCCAGCCAGCCTGTGGCGGAGGTCCCCCACTTGCAACTTCCCCCCGACCTGCACCTTTCCCCCCACCCTCCCCCCCAGTGTTCCCCCTTTCCCCCCCTGCTTCCCCCCCTTGGCCTTGAGCAGCGCGCGGAGGTCGTTTGCAGGGGGAACACCTGGCGGAAAAATGGAAAAGGGAAGCAGAAATAAGGGCATGTTGGATGTAGACGGGGGGCGGGGGAGGAGGGTGGGGGGGGAAGGGGGGAGCGGGAGCAAAGTAATGGGGAAGAAATGTTATGCAGTTGCAAGCTAATGCACCTCAAAACTTTGAAGAAGAAGAAGAAGAAGACGAAAGAAACCAATACAATCCAAAGGGCGTACCATCACCATCACCATCACCATCACCATCACCGACACCACTGCTTTGTTTGAACAAGTCGTGATGCCCTCTGTCCTCGGCGCCGCCACCAGCAGAGAGGCGCCTGAGCAGAGCAGAAAACGGTAGCAGTTACTGCGTCCCCCCCAGCAGTGACAGCACCCCCCCAGCAGTGACAGCACCCCCCCCAGCAGTGATAGCACCCCCCCAGCAGTGATAGCACCCCCCCCAGCAGTGACAGCGCCTCCCCCCCTCACCCCCCAAAGCAGTGACAGCATCCGTGAGCAGCAATAATGGGAATGAGAGAACGTACCATCATCGTCATCACCACCGCTTTGGTCGAACAGGTCGTGATGCCACCTGTCGTCGCCCGCGTCGCCAGCAGAGAGGCGCCTGAGGAGAGAGTAAGTCAAGACACGCCGGTATTGCAAGCAGCGGGAGACGACAGCACCCCGGGCCGAGCGGCAGAGAGGATGGTATATTGGTACCCCCCCAAGCAGCAGGAGACGACAGTCACTTTTGAGTCGACTCAAAAGTTACCCCCCCAAGCAGCAGGGCGGGGGCGGGGGAAACAGGTTACAGACGCAGGAAATGAAGCGAGTTGACAGTTGAAACGGAGCACGCCTTAAAGGGGTTAAAAAAGGAGGGGAAAAAAAGCCCTTACAGGAAAACACCCGAACACCCGAAACCCCAACACCCGACTCCCCAACACCCAAACCCCTTCTTCCTCCTCCCCTACAGACCACTCCCTCGCTCCTCTTCTCCCTTCCGCTTCAATCTCCTCCCCTTCCCCCCCTCGCCTCGCCCTCCCAACTCCATTTCACTCGTAATCAAGCGTGTTACTTAATTAACATTATCGTAAAAGTACCTGAAGGTACCTGAAGCAGTACCTGAAGGTGGTGCCAGACCCCCCCTTCTTGAACGACACGCGGTTTCTAATCGGCCCTGCGCTCACGGCCGCGCGCACGCCGCCTTCCCCCCCCGACAGCCGCGTTCTGACCGTCTCTTTCTCCTGCTCTAGGCGATCCGCGTACATGTCTCCGCGCGATTGGTTGATTCCTGATTCACGCCGACTGAATCGAATCGTGATTTTTTTTCCCCTGTCTTGATTAAAAATTCCGAAAAGTCGAATGCTCTCGTAATGACGTGGACGATCTCGAAGTTGGCCCAGAAGCAAAGGAGCTGCTGCGGCCGAAGCAAGTATGGAACAAACCTGCCGAGCCCAGAGTCAAACACAACCCTAATAAACAACGAACAATAGGAGCACGCGACTTCTAAATACGAATGGATAGTAGAATGATGCTGGCAAGCGAAATAGTGACCTCCAAGGTCGGGCTTCGTCAGGACTGTTCAAGACCGGTAGCTGATTGTAAGGAATTCAATTCCTTACTGCGCTAAATTACAGCGCGTACACCCGAAGACCCCGACCTCGCAGGTTCGGCCTCCATTGTCGGCCCAAACCTCCCCGAATCGCGTTCCGACACCCTCACCACCCTTCCAAGCCACATCACGTCCCGAGGTTCTCGCCCTAGCACATACAAGCCCTCTCAATCAATTATTTTTCCTAAGTAATATTTCCATTACTAAGTCGATCTTTCCATTCCCACTCATCACACTTGGTATTCAGAGCCACTTTCCTCGTGCAGTAGCTTTTGCCTGCCCGATAAATTTTCTTTGGGGGGGGGGGGAAAGGAGGGATGGCTGGTGGGCTGCGGGGCTGCAGAGCGGTTGGCTCGGAACTAATTTGTCAGCTCGTCCGACTATAGCGTGTGCGCTCCCTCGTCACCAGCCTGTCAAACATGTGTATTTGTCATGTTTGTATAGACTGTATAGGGTCGCCTCTTAGAGGGTACAACACTTAGGTATATCTGTGTGTTCTATGATCATTCACTTCTCTAATTCTGATATGGTATCACGCGTAGGTTAGGATCCCCCCCCCACCTACCGCTTCCGCTCGCCCCCTAGCTCGGCCCCCCCCCCCCCCCGTGCCTTCTCGCCCCGTCGTGCCCCTAGCCCCGTCGCGACCCCCCCCTAGCCCCGTAGCGCCCCTCCTGGGCCCCGTCGCACCCGCCCGGCCCCGTTGCCCCGGCCTGGCCCCTGCGCTCGTCCTTGCCTCTGCCCCTTCTTCCTCACTGGTACGGTTCCCCCCCCCCCCCCCCCCCGCCCTGCACTGCCCTGCACTGCATCGCACTGGACCGCACTGCGTCGCACTCCACCTTGCTGCACTGCCCTGCACCGCACTGCACTGCTGCTGATGGCGGCGGAGCTTCGCTTCGACGCTGAAGGCCAGCCTCTGGAGTTCGAGGCGTGGCTTGCCGACCTCCGCCGCCAACTCACTGGCCAGCGGCAGGATGGTGAACTGCTTTCCGCACACCTTGACGGTATGCTCCCCTGCCCAGACCCCCCTGCTATTCTGCCCGCTGACTCCACACCCACTGAGCGCGAGTCCACTGCTGCCACTGCCCGTGCGCGCTCTGTCTGGCTTTCTCGCGATGCTGTCGCCCAGCTTGCCATTAGCAACGCCCTTCCCCCGTCCGAGCGCCCTCGCTTTAGGTCTCTCACTACTGCTCAGGCATACTTAGATGCTGTCATCCAGCGCTATTCCACCCCTCCGGCTGCCTCGGTGGGTCGCCTGATCCTCCCGATGCTCTTTCCTGACCTTGCATCTTTCCCCACTGTCTCTGACCTCGCTGCCCACCTGCGCTCGATAGATGAGACCTAGCGCGCTGCCTGCGCTGACGCACAGCTTAGAGCCCGCCAGCCGCCCATTACCTCTACCCTCTACCTGCTTGCCACCCGCCTCCCTGACCGCCTTGCTGTCGCCCGCGACCGCTTCCTTAGCATTCACCCCGCAGACCTCACCCTCACTGACTTTGTAGACACCCTGACTGTGATAGAGACCCGTCACCGCTCCATCGCCCAGGCGAGCGGTGTCGTGCCGGTCCCTATCTTTCAGGGTTGTGCCCCCGCTCAGTGTACCTTCTCCGACGGCTCTGCCGCAGTGGCTGAGACTGCTGCTGCAGCGCAGATCCGTTCCGGGAAGGGCCGCCGCCCCAAGGTTGGGCGCGGCGGAGGCGGCGGCGGGGGTGCGGGAGGGGGTAGTGGTGGGGTCGGGTCGTCTGGTGCTGGAGCGGACGAGGGGACCCTGCCCAGTCCAGCTGAGCCGCCGCCCCTGCAGTTGCAGCAGCCGCAACAGTCGCAGCCTTCGCAGCAGCCGCAGCAGCCGTCGCAGACGCGGCAGACAAGTGTCCTCCCGCCCGGGTGGCCCGGCGCTGGCGGTGGCCGGGCGCGTGGTGGTGTGCCGAGTGGTGGCTCTGGCGGCGGGCGTTGTCAGTACCAGATCCAAACCGGTCCTCGCCGCGGCTTCGTTTGCGGTAAGATCGGTCACTCCACTCCCCGCTGTTTTCGTCACCTGGACGACCACTTTCGTCAGCACTTCGGCCCGTCGCCAGACCTCCCGGACTGGCACAGTTTGCTTAGTCGTAAGATTCAGATTTTTGATATGGGCATGGATGCCATTGTTGCTGCTCTGCATGTGATGTATGCTGATGACTCTAGTGTGCTTCCCGCTTATTACTCACTGTTGCCTAGTGTAGGTGTGCCTAGCTTAGCCTCCCCTGCTGCGTCAGGCGTAGGATCCCCTGCTTTGTGTAGTCTTGGTGCTTCCGCCGTCGTTCCGTCGCCAGACGCCTCTGCTTCGTTTTCCTTCACCTTGGACTCTGGCGCTTCTCGGTGTTTCTTCCGCGACTCCACCTCCCTGACGCCGCTTCCTGTTCCAGCTACCGTTTCTCTTGCTGACCCCTCCGGCGGTCCGGTAGTCGCCCGCAGTTCCACCACCCTTCCCTGTCCGGCGGTTCCTTCGGGCACTCTCACAGGTCTGCATATCCCCTCGTTCTCCAGGAACCTAGTTGGTGTCGGCTGCCTCCAGAACCTTGGCGTCACCAGTACGTTCCCTGGTCACGAGCGGTATGCTGTCTGTACCGAGGCCGCCACTGGTGCCCCCCTGTCCACGTTCCCCCGGGACCCGGTGTCCGGCCTGTTCACTCTGGACACCGTGACCCCCCCGGCTGGAGCGCTCACCCAGGTTGCTGCTGCCTGCTCCTGTCGGTCCCTCACTCACCCGACCCTCCTTTGGCACCACCGCCTAGGTCACCCTGCGCTCCCGCGTCTGCGTCACATCTCCCAGCACGGTCTTGTCCTTGGTCTCCCAGTTTCCCTCCCCGCGTTTCCCTCCTCCCCAACCCCTCCTTGCACGCCTTGCGTCGAGGGTCGGCTTCGCCGTGCCCCTCACTCCTCCTCGTTTCCCCCTACCGCCGCGCCATTGCAGACCCTGCACCTGGACGTCTGGGGCCCCGCCCCCGTCCCTAGGCCGCGTCGAGAGCGCTACTTCCTTGTGCTTGTCGACGACTTCACTCGTTACACCACAGTCTTTCCCCTGGAGCGCAAGGCCGACGTGCCCGGCGCTCTCATCCCCTGGCTTGTCTCTGCGCGTGTCCACCGCGGTCTCCCTGTCTTGCGTCTTCACTCAGACCGTGGTAGCGAGTTTGCCTCAGGTGTCCTTGGTTGCTTTTGTTGTGCAGAGGGCATCACCCAGACGTTCACCCTACCGGACTCCCCACAGCAGAATGGGGTCGCTGAGCGACGCATCGGTTTGGTCATGGAGGTGGCTCGCACCTCCATGATCCATGCCGGTGCACCCCATTTTCTGTGGCCGTTCGCTGTGCGCTACGCTTCTCACCAGCTTAACTTGTGGCCGCACCCTCAGCAGCCGCAGGTTTCGCCGACCCGTCTTTGGACTGGGTCTCCTGGTGACGCGTCTGCGTTCCACGTCTGGGGCTGCCTTGCTCACGTCCGTGCCTCCGGCATGGACAAGCTCACTGCCCGCACCCTTCCCTGCGTCTTCCTCGGTTTTCCCCTTGACGCGTCCGACTGGCACTTTTACCACCTGCCGTCTCACCGCTTCTTTCACTCTCGTGACGTCACCCTTGACGAGTCCGTCTCCTACTACTGTCGCTTCCCCCACCGTGGTCCCCCGGTTACCCCCCCCTTGTTCCTGGTCACTCCTTCCCCGGTAGTCCCTGCCCCTCCTCCCCGTCCCACCCCCTCTGGTGTGTCCCACGTCACCCCCCTTCCGTCGGTGGACCCGGTTGAGGAGTCTTCTGACTCTGGTGGCCCTCCTGTTCAGTCCTCGCCGGCCGCCCCTCCCCTGGCGTTCCCTCCCCAGTCCCCTCCTCCACCACCTCTGCCGCCGCTGCAGCCGTCGTTGTCGCTGCCGCCGCCGCCGCCGTCGCAGCACCCGTTCGCTGACTCTGGAGGTGCTCATCCCGGTAGCCCTGGGGGTGGTCCCTTTGGGGGTGCTGGTGTGGAGAGTGCCGGTGGTAGCCGAGGAGCAGCTTGCGGTCCAGGTGTCGTTGTTGTGCCGCCGCAGCAGCAGTCCCCACCGGTGTCAGCCCTTCGCCTGCTCGGCCTTCCGTCCCCCGACCCTGCGTCGGTTCCTCCCCGACCGTCTCCTCCTCTTCATGTCTACGGCCCTGTTTTCCCTCCGCCGGACTCGTCCCCGGCCCGTCTCCCCCCTCGTTCCCCTCCTGTGTCCCCTCCTCTGTCTCCTGACCCGACTCCTCCGTCGCACGTCTGGTCTCACCGTCCCTCCCGTGCTCGTCCTGCCTCGCCTGTCTTGAGCTCCCACCCTATGTTGCTTCGTTCCCACGCGTCTCGTCCTCCCTTCTGCCGTCGCCTCCTCCGTCCTCCCTTGTTGTTGCACCCCCCCCGCTGTCTGACTACCTTCGTGCCGCTCGTCCTCTTGTTCCTCGGGTCCTTGCCTCTCTTGTTACCGACCCGTCTGTTCCGGTCTCGTGCCTTGACGCTCTTGTCGCTGCGGTCGCTGACTTCGCCTCTACCCGCCGCCTTGACTACGCCACCGCTCTGGTCTCTGACCCTGCCTGTCCTCCGTCTGTCGGGGGTGCTCCTGCCCTTGGCAGTGACGTCCTGGAGGACCGCCAGTTCGAGCTTGCTTTCCTGTCCGAGGCTGCTCCCCATCTCTGTTCCATGATGCTAGTCTTTGAGGGTGACCCAGACGCTTTCGACATTCCGACCCCTCGCACTTACGCTGAGGCGACCTCGGGACCCTGGGCCTCGCAGTGGATAGCTGCCATGGAGCAGGAGATGGCATCTTGGAGATCCACCGGCACCTTCGTCGACGCAGTTCCCCCACCTGGGGTGAACGTAGTCGATGGCCGCTGGCTCTTCAAGGTGAAGCGCCCTCCTGGAGAGCCGCCTGTCTTCAAGGAGCGCTATGTGGCTAGAGG